GCGCCGCACCGCAAGTACACTGAGTCAGGGTGCGTTCACAGACGGTGGAAACCGTAGGAATTTTTAGTTTTTGGCGGAAACAGTGCGGAGAATACAGGAGGGAGGAACTTTCTCTCGTTGCGTTTCAAAAGAGAAAACAGATTTCACTCAGTTTTAAATGAAAAACAAATTGTCTGCCGTTCATGACACATAATATGAACTAATTCACGTTCAAGTTCTTTATTAAAAAATGTGTTGCGTTCAGTTCAACGTTCACAAAAAAATGAGCGTGTTCAATGAACGCGTTCTTTTGAACTCGTTCACGCACAACACTGGCTTTGGCCTGGGCCAGGCCACCAGGCAGGGGAGGAGTTTGCAAAGACCGTGAGGATGAAATTAAATAAAAAAAAAAAAAAAAAAAAAAAAAGACCTTGATGATAGGGCAGGCCCAGGCCACTTTGACACGCAGGCCACCGGGAGATCTCCCGATGCTCCCGATGGCCAGTCCGGGCCAGGTGTAGTGGTAGTACAGACAGTAGGGGTGCAACGGTTTGAAAAAAATCACGGTTCGGTTCGTACCTCGGTTCAGAGGCCACGGTTCGGTTCATTTTTCAAAAAAAAGTTTTGTCTTTTTAATAAACACAGCTCATGTGGACTTAGCACCTGCTCTGACTGCCCCCCCTGACCTAGAAATGGATGAGGGGAAGGAAATGGATGGATGGCATATTCCATCCATCCAATTATGTCTATTTAACATAATTAATGAAAAACAACACAAAGTGCAACATAAGAAGTGCAGTCCAGCCTCATTCACTGCATTTATTTAATTTTTGGCATTATCAATTGTGACTGGGATATTAGTACTGGGCCTTTGTCTTCCATTCCTCCGCTGCTTGTGTCAGAACCTGAGCTGTGTGCCTGTGTGACCGTTGTAGAGGGGGCGTGTCTGCAGCGCCAGACTTCTCATCTCCCAGTCTGCAGTGATGAAGTGAGCGGTTCCGCTCATGGATCTGTTATAGGTTCCGCGGGACGTCCAAGCATAAGTCGTGTGTGCAGCTGAGGATGCGCGGGAGAGTTGACTTTAGCCCGGTCTGACTGTGCGTAAAGGAGCTGCTTAAATGCCGCGACAATAAGCGGTCGTTGAGACGCTTTTTCCACTCATGTCTTTCTTGTGCCACAGTGCTTACACATCGTGACGTTTTGTCGAATATTAATTATCAGTGTAGTTACAGTGAAGCCAAAATGCTCTCATACAGGGGATTTAAATGACGCGGGGCTTTCAAGCTCCTCCGTTCCTCCGCTCGCAATGGCCGCGCTGTGTGTGGACTGAACAACGTGCGCACAACTTTTTTTTTTTCATAAATCAAACCGCGGATCACGTCTGTACCAAACCGAGGACGTTGAACCGAACGGATCACAGATCAGTGATGAACCGTTGCACCTCTAACAGACAGTCCTACAGTGTCGCTTACCTAGCAAAACTAGTTACGCCTCGGAGCAGACAGCCGCTTGACTATTGGAAGGAAAATAAAAGCCGCTTCCCTGCTTTGGCCAAAGCAGCGAAGCTTTCCTCTGCGCTCCATGTACATGTGTAGACAGAGAGCGGCTGTTTACGCAGCAGGACTATTCAGGATGATAAACGTAAAAATCTCTCCCCTGAAAATGCTGAGATGCTAATATTCCTGAAGATCAAACATTGCCTTAACTATCTTATTAATCAGCTTAGAAATGCAGCACATTATTGCTGTATTTCATTGCATTTAAAAAAAAATGTATCTCAATGCTCTGTAACGTATACTTGTGGTTCCCAACCTTTTTGTCTTGAGTACCCGAGGGCATTTTATTTATACTACCTAGTACTTTGATGGTTTTGAAAGATTACTTATAAAGTGACTAACTAATCCTATTCATTTATCACTAAAATATCAATATTTGATCGGGTCGGCAATGATCGGTATCGACAAGTCAAAATTGTAATCATCGGTGATTGGCCAAAAAATTCCTGATTGATGCACCTCTAATCACAATAACTGCAATTGTAAATTTGTTCTATTACATTCACTTCCAGCTAGAGGTGTATCTGGAATATGCATTGCAATGTTGGTAGATTTATGTACAGTATATACAAGAGAATACGTTTTTCTGTTCTCAAAATTATCAGCCAAAATAGATGTTAAAAATCTCCTAACAAGTGTTCAGAGCGGCTACTTTTCTTCCTGGTCCAGTCTTTGTGTAACTCTTATCAAAGGCTGCCTATATAAGCTCCAGGCCTATTCCTCAGCTCCTCTCCATCTGGCTTAAATACAATCACATCTCCCAGGCTGTCCACTGCACAGGGCCCAAGCAGCAGTCCCTGCTAGAGACATGGTTTGGGGATGAAAACTCTGAAAGGAGGCCCTTCCCAGCAGAGGGCTGGTTGTTATGGAAACGCCTGTCTCTGTGAATGGGAGCTACTCTTCCACACCCGGTCAGAGGTCTGCCACTGTTTCGATGGTCCGAGGGGTGTCCGGAGACCAGAGACGGGAAAGGAAAGACAAGCGTTAGATTTAGAACTTGAACCTTGTTCTTTTTTTAAAGTTATAGCTTCATGACAGATCCAGAACTTTTTCAATCTAGTCCTATGGTATCCTCTAGCTCTAAATGCTCTAAATGCTTGCTGTGTAAATTAAGCAATTTTATAGTCCTGTGCTACCTCAATCGATGGTCCCCCTCAATATTTTTAAGATGTGCATTGTGAAATGAACTTTTGAAAATCTTTCATACCTTCAGAACAGTTGTGTTTCTCGGCGCAGTTAATAGAAAATGCATACATCTTGATCAATCAAAGTCTTAATTTATTCAAACCATCTCACGTATAACCCTTTGAAATAAACACTGGGGGTAAAATATTTTTGGTGCTGGGCTGGACCAGATGACCTGGCCTATCATATATATATAAGTATTCGGCCCCCTTGAACCTTTCAACATTTCGCCTCATTTCAGGCTTCAAACATAAAGATATAAAATTCTAATTTTTTGTCAAGAATCATCAACAAGTGGGACACAATAATTTAAACTTTTTTAACAAATAAAAAACTGAAAAGTGGGGCGTGCAATATTATTCGGCCCCTTTACTTTCAGTGCAGCAAACTCACTCCAGAAGTTCAGTGAGGATCTTTGAATGATCCAATGTTGTCCTAAATGACTGATGATGATAAATAGAATGCACCTGTGTGTAATCAAGTCTCCGTATAAATGCACCTGCTCTTTGATAGTCTCAGGGTTCTGTTTAAAGCGCAGAGAGAACCATGAAAACAAAGGAACACACCAGGCAGGTCTGAGATACTGTTGTGGAGAAGTTTAAAGCCGGATTTGGATACAAAAAGATTTCCCAAGCTTTAAACATCTCAAGGAGCACTGTGCAAGCAATTATATTGAAATGGAAGGAGTATCAGACCATTGCAAATCTACCAAGACCCGGCCGTCCCTCCAAACTTTCATCTCAAACAAGGAGAAGACTGATCAGAGATACAGCCAAGAGGCCCATGATCACTCTGGATGAACTGCAGATAACTACAGCTGAGGTGGGAGAGTCTGTCCATAGGACAACAATCAGTCGTGCACTGCACAAATCTGGCCTTTATGGAAGAGTGGCAAGAAGAAAGCCATTTCTCAAAGATATCCATAAAAAGTCTAGTTTAAAGTTTGCCACAAGCCACCTGGGAGACACACCAAACATGTGGAAGAAGGTGCTATGGTCAGATGAAACCAAAATCGTACTTTTTGGCCACAATGCAAAACGATATGTTTGGCATAAAAGCAACACAGCTCATCACCCTGAACACACCATCCCCACTGTCAAACATGGTGATGGCAGCATCATGGTTTGGGCCTGCTTTTCTTCAGCAGGGACAGGGAAGATGGCTAAAATTGATGGGAAGATGGACGGAGCCAAATACAGGACCATTCTGGAAGAAAACCTGTTGGAGTCTGCAAAAGACCTGAGACTGGGACGGAGATTTATCTTCCAACAGGACAATGATCCAAAACATAAAGCCAAATCTACAATGGAATGGTTCACAAATAGACGTATCCAGGTGTTAGAATGGCCAAGTCAAAGTCCAGACCTGAATCCAATCGAGAATCTGTGGAAAGAGCTGAAGACTGCTGTTCACAAACGCTCTCCATCCAACCTCACTGAGCTCGAGCTGTTTTGCAAGGAAGAATGGGCAAGAATTCCAGCCCTCGATGTGCAAAACTGATAGCGACTCCAATAAATTTTGTCCCACTTCACGATTGTGTCCCACTTGTTGTTGATTCTTGACAAAAAAAAATGTTTTTATATCTTTATGTTTGAAGCCTGAAATGTGGCGAAATGTTGAAAGGTTCAAGGGGGCCAAATACTTTCGCAAGGCACTGTATTTGTCAAATCAAAAATGTGTTGTTCAAAAAGTGCATAATGCAGTGCTTTTCATGGCTGCACCTGGTAATATTCATTCACACCATACATGGCGATGGAAAAGTCATGGGCAGCCTGATTGCATGCCCATTCAAATCTTTAGAAAGGTGAATGATATGTATCATGGAAAGTAAAACAAGTAAAATCCATCTGTTCATAATTTGTTCACAAGCTGTAGGAGCCCTATAAACATGTTGCTTTGTCATTGCTCCCCCACCTCTCGCAAACTTGACCCGAGCGTCTCCTAGTGCTGGCTGCAGACAGCTGGGAGCTAAGGTAAAGTGCCTGTAAGTCTATTAGAGAGGATAATCCAACAGAGACGACCACAAACAGCCTGTCAATTCACTTTTTGCACTGCATGGTCATGTGACGTCCCCTCATGCAACCAGCCCTTTCCAACACATGGCCACCATATGCTTTCCACATCTTGGGCCTCTCCAGTCGTGACATAAACAGGAGCCTGAAAGTTTACCAATGTGCTTTTCAGCAGCATTCGACAAGTACAAGATTTACGTTGCTGGCTTTGGACAATTTTGCTGTTACCGCCTTCGTCTGATGCTTACCTTCTCTCATTTCTCTGCAGCATCCCTCCACTCTGCACCTTTACGGCTCTGGCTGGCAGTTGGCGGTTCTGGCGCACTTGAAACGGGGAGGTGTTTGGTCAGCCAAGATAACGCTGCAGAAGCCCGAGGACTCTCCACAGGTCTGGCCTCCTTTCCTTGTGCTTTGCCATCTTCAACACCCATTGTAGTCTGAGTGATTGCAGTGGTTTTGTTGTGCCGCTGTAGAAAGATGAGACATTTCATTGAACTATTCCATGCCACGTTATATGTTTGTCTGCAGGAAAAACTCGGCTCAGTGAGGAATCGGTGTTCTGCCTCAACAGCAGCAATATGCCCTTACATATGAAGACTGTCAGTGCAGGATTAATTGACTTTGTAAAACCAGTAAGAGTAGGCACCAAGACAATACTGGTATTGGACGTCGGTGCCATCAGACATTTATGTACTGGTTCATTAAAATTGGTTAGTCATTATCATTGTTAGATAAACACATAAAACGTGTAACATTTGTAAATTGGTCAACAAAACTTTTCTGTTAAATCCAAACACATCTGTAATAATTATTTACTCAAGACAATGATCATACGCCTAAACTTTCAAAATATTTTTTTGCTTTAATATACCTAAACATTTTTTTTACTGGTAACAATGGCAATATATCAGTAATTGCTGTGTTGCAATATTCTCGTATTGCGGATATCCAGACTTTGACATTTTACTCGAATAGTAAAGTCTTCTGTTGTACGGTTGAGTCGAACACTTTTGACCAATTTTGTAATTAGTTAGCTGAGAGAGGAGAAAGACTAAAAATAAATCTCTCCATTCACTGATATCTGTGTATATAAGGTGTTGACAGATTATTGAAAGCTTGAGATTGGTTTTAGATTTGAAAAAAGCTGGATCAGTGAATCCCTTTAGGAAAATGTGTTCCACCCTGTGGGGGCGGGTCCCGGCTCAATGGCCAAAATGACGTGCGCTGACATGCTTGCAATACCACCCCGGGCCGATGGGGGTGGACCCAGAAGAAGAATTATAGAATGCTAACATATAGCATTGGCAGACCTCTCGAAAACGTCTTTACAGGATGGTCCAAAATAGGGGTGGGCGATATGGCCTAAAATTCATATCGCGGTATAATTTGGGTCATAGACGGTAGACGGTATATATCGCGGTATAATTTGGTGTGTGAATTTCAATATAGGTCTAGCAGGTTCTTGCATAAAATAGTCAAGATTGTTAATTATTTATATATTAGAATCTAATATATATATTTTTTGAGTTAGAAAATCAGTTGTGAGACGAATAAAGAGACAAATAACATACATTATTTATGTATGTTACAGTAAAGACCATTCACTGTAAAAGCAATTTTTAAAAAGAAAAACATATGCATTCATTTAAAATATAAAAAACTCACAAATGTTGAAATCAAAGTCTGTAGGAGTTTGACATGGTCATTATTTATAGTGTCTGAGAGTTTTGTGCAGGTACATGACTTCAGTAAAAGCTGTTCGTTTACAAAGCTGGTCTTGCCATTTGTTGACGCTCCCTAAGCGCTTTTCTTTGCGCTTGCAGTGAACTGGATGATTCAATGGATTTTATGTTCATTAAAACAGGGCATTGGATTTGAACAATTGATGTAAATGGTCATTTTGGCACAAATAATTTTGTTTAACAAAGTAGCTTTCGTGAGATATTGACCGCGGAGGTCCGAATCTGACGCTAACTTTCCCAAACTTCTGCTGTGATGATGCTGCGGACACGGCACACGCTGGCGCTTCGAGCTTACGCCCCTTTGACACTGATTGGCCAAAAGGTAGACTCTTAAACTGTGATTACTGTGTGTGTATTTACCTCTGCTGGGGCCGCTGTGACAACAATACAGAGACAGAAACACGGTGTGAATGCCGTGCTGTTGTTCGTTGTTTCCAGTGGTGTCCAATAGTGCTAGGCTAATGCTAGGCTAATGCTGCTGAATGCCGGTTTGTTTTGGTGCTTTCTGCTGGCGTCAGAGCCTGCGCAATTTAATGACATAATGACCTACTGCAATATGCCGGTATAACAAAAATCTCTACCGTGGGCCAAATTTATACCGTCTACCGCTTATACCGTTTATACCGCCCAGCCCTAGTCCAAAAGTTGGCTCTTGGCCCAAAGCTCCGTTCCACATGTGTGTCAATGCTGAGGGGGGTGAATTTTTTTGGACCACTCTAGTTTACTTGCTGTGAATTTTTGAAGTCTCGTTCTAATGAATGGAGCTTGCGCCGGCTGACGCATGCGCAGATGCATTTTTTCACAATTTTCTTGTGGTTGGGACCACCCGCGGCCATTTTGGATAGCTCCAGTAGAGCAAAATGTTTGGCCCATTAGTTAGAACGGCAGAGATAGGCGTGACTACGTCCATTATTTTTTACAGTCTATGGTTCCACCTCATCCAGATGTTGTTTTCAATAGATCACTTACTGTGTTTGTCATCTAATTATTGAGTATTACTGTAGTTGTTCTATTTTGTCTTCATGTCTCATATTAATCATATGCCAATCTTATACATATTTTGGTTCTTATTCATTTGTGCAGAGCTGCCAAATCTCCCCATATAAAACATACATATTCTACAGTCACTTGTGAATTGTGAACATTTGACTTAATATTATTCAGTAATGGTTAAACGTTTATTTGAAACTACTCACTGTCAAAATATTTAGTCAGAAACTGCTTATTGGAGGTCATTGAGTGCTGACATACAGTACAACTGCATCCAATGGAGGTGTGAGGGCTAAAACACGAAAGAGTAATTCTGCAGAAGGAGATGAAGAAAACTTGTAAACACATTTGAATGAACTGAAAGCACGTTATTGTTTTGGTTTTATGTTTTTTAATATGACCTACCTAATTCAAAGTGTACATACAATTGCTGTTCATTTGTAATGCCATGTATCTTTGAGCTGTGAGTGTTTCCATGGCAGCGACACGTTGCTGCTCAGGTTCTCATGATTTCCTCTGGGATACAACACTTCTCGCTGAGCTCTCTGACAGAACGCTCGTCCTCTGTGGATTTTCTCAAAACAGATGCCTTCAGGGAGACCAGCACTGCAGTTTTGTTGGCAGATTTGGTATTTGAAGTTAACACACAAAAAACATGGGACAAAGTGGTGCAAATTAGGGATAAAGATAACTATGTCAAATTCCTCAAATGCTTTGTGCCTTTTCAAAATGAGCTTCTAGTTTTTCTACTAATATCTATGTACTATAGTCTTGTGAGTGTGGCATTGAACCTACTGGTGGTTAGTTTTTCCATAGACCTATAAAAACTGAAAAATGTAATAATACACTATTTAAGTATTTGTATTAAAAAACCCAAATGTATAACAAGTTTAACATAACTATGGAGATGTTCTCCAGGGGCATTACTGGAAATCCAATATTCACTGACATCTTGCGATTCCAACAACTAATACTATTACAAACTACAACCCTAGAACAAAGATTAAAAACATCGTTAAGTGGAAATGGTGAAATGTGAGTGTCTTCTCACTGTACCCCTGTAAGGTCTGAAAGGTCTCAGAGCTTAAGGAAGACGCTGAGAAGGTGGAGCCATGAAGGAAATGAGGCTGCATTCCACCCATGATTTATGAAGTGTCCGTCAGTTACTCTATTGAGCTCACTACTGCACAGCTGGTCCAGGTCCGGATTTACACTCGACAGTCACCACGCGACAAAGTCATTAGTAGATTAGTGTTTCTAGCATTGCCTCTCAAGATAAATATTGCCAGAACAATTATTATTGTTAGAATGCCAACAATGTAGACAATATATACTGATAATTAGGGGCTATAGACCCCTTTACTGTTGTCAAGTAAGGCCAGATGACTACAAAATGATGGAGAAAGGGCAGGCTCCTTTTGTGGCACCGGCACCTGCCACAGCTGAGCAGTGGCATGTACACAACAAATGGCGTTTAAAACGGCATGTGGACAAGTGGCGTTTAAAACGGCATGTGGGGAATAAATGGCGTTTAAAACGACATGTGGGGAATAAATGGCGTGTAAAGCGGCATGTGGGCAATAAATGGCGTTTAAAACGGCATGTGGACAACAAGTGGCGTTTAAAACGGCATGTGGACAACAAGTGGCGTTTAAAACGGGGATTTATTCCCCACATGCCGTTGTAAACGCCACTTGTTGTCCACATGCCGTTTTAAACGGCACTTGTTGTCCACATGCCGTTTTAAACGCCACTTGTTGTCCACATTCCGCTTTACACGCCATTTATTCCCCACATGCCGTTTTAAACGCCACTTGTTGTCCACATGCCGTTTTAAACGCCACTTGTTATCTACATGCCGCTTTACACGCCATTTATTCCCCACATGCCGTTTTAAACGCCACTTGTTGTCCACATGCCGTTTTAAACAGCATTTATTCCCCACATGTTGTTTTAAACGCCATTTATTCCCCACATGCCGTTTTAAACGCCACTTGTTGTCCACATGCCATTTTAAACGACATTTGTTTTAAACGCCACTTGTTGTCCACATGCCGTTTTAAACGCCACTTGCTGTCCACATGCCGTTTTAAACGCCATTTGTTGTGTACATGCCACTAATCAGCTGTGGCAGGTGCCGGTGCCACAAAAGGAGCCTGCCCTTACTGAAATGATGGTTTACTGCTGGCAAACATAAGTAGGCTGATAATCAGTCTATACATGATGGGTGTACAAACGGTGCACTTGCAGAATTAAATGTACTGGATAGTGGATACTGATATTCTATGGCCCTCTGCTGTACCTGCATACCACTAAAGTCTTTGTCTTCATCTGCGGCATATCACTGCGGCACTGAGGAAGAAAGGACGTACCAACACAGTATTATGCTAATATTTTCACCTCTTGTTTATTGCCTCATGTGCATAAGTCAGTTCACATGTTTTTGAATATTTAATGACTGGACTAGGTGCAAATACCTTGTGACCAGACATGACTTGTTGTATTATTCATCTGAAGGACACTCAAGCTCAGTGTGAGAACATGTCAGAAGCAGCAAAGGTCACCTGCATGCAGCATGTGTAACAAGACCTTACCACTCCTTTTAAAATGCCTTTTCATGTTCAACCACTTCAGTTTGTATTTTAAATAAATACTG